TGCAAGACTGGCAGCTCAGCAGCTCGACTGGCCCCCACACTTCACACACAGTGGGGAATATGGGGCACGGTACATGCGATCACCCTAAGCCCTAAACCCTAAACCCTGAATGTGCGAAGATCCTTCCGCAAGATGCCCCCACAGAGGAACCCAAGGCCAGGGAAACCTCACGCCCCTGCTTCAGTCTTGGTAGTCTCAGGGCTTTGGTGGTTTAGGGCTTATAGGGTTTATCGGGTTTAGGAAGTTTAGGGTTTAGGAAGTTTAGAGTTTAGTTTTGGTATCGGTTCGTCGCAATATCCTCGGAAGCAGGCCTGCGAAGCTGAAGAGGCCCCTCAGAACTGTCCGCCCCGAATGATCACAGATGGTCGTGCCCCGATGACACTACGAACAAGTCAACCTGACACTGCACAGTACTCAAAGTGCCTGGAAGCTTCAGAGCCCCCTTGCCTCCAGCGCCTTTGGCTTTGCATTCCCACTTTGCTGCACACTGCTTGCATGGGGCTTGACTTACATGGTGTGACATGGCTCCGCATTCGAGAAGCAGAAATCAGCGAGTCTCAAGTTAACACCTCAGGGCCTGTGTCACACCTGTGTAGACACGGGCGCATTCAACCTTGTCGACCTAAGATGGACCGCCCAGCGAACGACCCAAGGCCGCGGCTGCTTGCGGCAAGTCCTCGCCGACAGCGGTCCCTGTCAGACAAGAAGCGAACCGCGAGCAGAGAAACGGATGTGATGTGGTGCCGAGCTCCAGGCACAAGCGTGACTCTGTGCATTGCGCCACGAGCTTGGGCACCACGAAGCCCTTGGCCTACACCGAAGCAAGAGCAGGGACCTGCGAGGTGCGAGACCGTGGGAAGGGTGCCTTCTCGTACAAGGACTTTTCCTGCAACAGGCTCACAAGAACACACATCATCATTGCCCGCTCCCGCCGCGTTTTCATGCGCTGCCTTGGAGGGAGAGACCTCTGCTGACTCCTCTCCACGAGGCCACTCGCACAGCACATGCTGGAAGAGCTCCGTCCTTCTTCACCCGAAGGCGGGCAACCAAGGCCGGCCAAAACTCAGCCGCAAGGTCCCTCCTCACGCTGCCGTCAAACCCAAGGCATCCGACAAGTTCCAGAAGGCATGGTCGCCGATGTCTTGCAAAATGCAGCTTCAGGGTTATGGGGCTTCGAAAGACAGCTCCTTAGACTTTGTAAGGACGATGCTGGGAGGATCTGGGAGGGCCACTCATAACTGGCCTGCGCGACCCTGCGGCCGTGATGCTTCCGGCAAGTGTGGCAAGGTGCACTTGCCGCGCTCCTGGTCGTTGCGAACCAGAACCTTGCACAAGGCACGGACCGATATGAGCACGGATGCGTCGTCATTCTGCGTCCAGCTTTCTGGACAAGCACCTTTCGGCATTTCTGGCTCTACACCTGCACCACGCATAGAGGTAAGGGCCATGCAAGGCCGGTGCCGGCAGGAAGATTGTCAGGAGCGCTGCGTTCCCAAGGCAGAAGCCTGACGGACAGTACAAAAGCTGCACGAGACCTCCTATCGGCATCCCTTAAACTAAGATCCCGATTGAATGGCTGGATTTTCTCGACACGATTCATACTTCCAACATCTTGCAAAACCTGGGATTCCTCCACCCTGCGAAGAGCTACAGGAGACTGGCCTACGGTGCGTCTCCATGAGCCGTCCGCTTGGCAGGCCGCGAGCTGAAACACGGCGCCAGCAAACAGACAATCCTGCAAGCGCTGATGGCCCGAGGCCCCAATGTAAAGACACCCGGAAAACCCGGTTGGACCTTCCGAGAGAGCACAGGGAAGAGCACACGCAACGCCGGGGAGGTCCGTCCTTGAGCAAGTCCACCCGTGGCCCCAGAACGGGGAAGACCTGAGAGCGGCGTTCAGGTCGCCGTAGATTTCGCAAGCCTCCGCCTATACCGTAGCGGTGTCTGAGGCCGGAGCGCTCATGACGATGGCAATGGCAGGGTCTGTGACGCTGATCTGGCGCTTCATCCACGCCGCCTGCATGCCGGGAAGACTCACTGCGACGGCCCTCCGGCCGTGGTCCGGCCCCGGCATGTCGCCTGCAATGCGCGGAAAAAGTAGCCCACCACGTCCGTAGCAAGCACAACCTGAAACTCCGAAGGGCTCAAAAAATCCCGCCGGGAGGTGGTCGGCACCGGGCCCCGGGCCACGAGCCAGAGCCAAATTATCTCCCACGCCAGCCCTGCCCCGCCCAGCATCAAGTTGTCGGCTTTTGACCAAGAGGTCAGAACCTTAAGGCAGAGCCAACGCCAAGAAGGCGCACGACGGGGTCGCGCCGACGAGGCCCATCGAGCCCGGTGCCAGCAGGAAGAGTATATTGCAGACGTAGTAAACCTGAAAGGGAACGGCTTGATGTGCTGCCTGCTGCCATCCGGCACGTCCAGGACGAGGCCCGCACTGCAAAGACCAGGGTCTTAAGTGGCCCCAGCTGCATCTCGAACTCCTCTTCGTCCTTCTGCTCCTGGGCCACTTCGCCTGCCGGGAGCGGGAGAATTGAAGAGGGCACCAAGCGACAGGCATCCCACGGTGCCCAGCTCTCCTGCGCGGATTAGGAGACGAGCGTCTTCTTCTTCGGGAGCTCGGCCCGATCGGCCCGAACGGTTGGGCCTAACAGCAGCCAGAACAAACAAAATTAACAGAACAATTTAGGCCCAAAAGCGTCTTGCATCGTAGATCACTTCCAATTTCTGCTACCTCCGGCCTGTGGCCACCTCTTGGTGCGTGGCCCTGTCGAAGCTCCCTGGCATCCCATGCATGCCAAGAAGGACACCATCGCGACTGGCACGGTTGCCGCAACCACGGCCAGACCTCAAGCAGGACGCACCTCTACCACCCAAATTCTATCTAGCTCGGTGCCTGAACAGAAGCCACTCACCTTTACAATCTGCGATAGCTCACTCCGCTTTCGCGCGCTGCGCTACCCACCAGACCAGCCGACATGACCCTTCGA